TATATATAGAGAGAGGTCCTGAAATCAGTTTCTTGTGGATATGAGGGATGAGTGTATACACCTTTTTAAGGTAGTGTTTTTTCCCCCTTGCCTTTTAACAAAACATTTTTGTTATATAGGATATTATAAGAAAGCCTAAAAGGTAAAAGAAGAAAAATTGAAATTCTACCCAAAGATAGAATTTCTCCACCCCCATATATTAGAGATTGGACCACAGGCATCACACTTACTAGCTAGGCAAGTGCTCCACCACTGAGCTATACCCTACCCCTTTTTTCCCTGCCCAGGCCTGAGGGCCTAACCCAGGGCCTTGAGCATGCTAGGTAAGTGCTCTGCCACTTAGCTAAATCCCCCAGTCTTCCCTCAACCCTTTTTACTTTATTTTGAGACAGGGTCTTACTATGTTGCCCAGGCTGGCCTGGAACTGTTAATCCTCCTGCCTCAGCCTCATGATAGCTGGGATTATAGATATGTGCTACCATAGATAATCATTCTTAGTTAACCTATACTTGTATTAGCCCTTGTTTCCTAGAAAAAAGGAAACAGGCTAGCTTAGCTGCTAAGGCTTTTATGGGAGTTGTGGTCTAAGTGCGGGAATGAGGGGAAAAACTGAACACAGCTTTATAAAGAAGACACTATTGGATTTGATTATGTTGGATAACATCTAGCCAGACATTATGGACTCAACATGTTTTAGAAAGGTCAGATGGAAGAAGGTAGTAAAGAGATTTGAGAGATTTGATAGGTGGTGCCTGCCTTTAACTGGTCAAAGTTTACTATGTAGAATATTAATTCCTCCATGCTTTTGGATTGTGTTGCTCTGGCGACTCACCCACCTGAAACAGTCAAGGAGTTAAATCCTCCTTTGAATCTTCACAGGCCAGGCCTGCATGCACTTCTAGAATAGTCTGAAACAACCAAAGGTATTAGGAGACTGAACTTTTGTCAGCCAAGGCATGGTCTGTCGCGTGTAAATCTGAAGGCACATATAAACTGGGGTCTGCCTCATTATCCCTCAAGTTTTTGTGTAAATCTGTAAGCATGACTTTTTAAATAAAAATGGATTCATGTAATATGTTGACATTCTGCTTTTTCCCTCTTCAGAATAAATCTTGTATATCTTTCCTTATCATTAAATAATCAACATCCTTTAAAATGGCTAAATGGTGTTTCATCTGTGAGTAGGAATAATTCTTACAGGAAAAATTAAAAATTTTCAGTTATTTGTGGATGGATTGTTCTAAACTGTACTTGTTTAATGATAGATTCTTTTTGACCTTTATGTAGAAATAATTTCAAGTTTATAGAAAATTTGTCTCATTAAGAACAGTAAAGATTCTTGTGTCCCAGCGTGTTTGGAAACTGAGGCAGGAGGATTAAAGTTCAAAGCCAGCCTCAGCAATTTAGTGAGGCCTAAGCAATTTAGCAAGACCCTATCTCAAAATTAAAAAAAAAAAAAAAAAGAGGTTGTGGGGATGTGGCTCAGTGGTTAAGCACTCCTAGGTTTAATCCCTGGTACCAATTAAAAAAAAAGAACCAGTAAAGAGAATACTCATGTATTTTCCCTTACCTGGATCCATCTATTAACATTTTCTGTTTGTTTATCTTATCATTTGCCCTTGCTCTTGTGATTTTTTTTTTTCCCTTTGTGGTTTGGGGGATTGAACCCAGGGCCTTGCACATGTAAGGCAAGCACTCTACCAACTGAGCTATAGCCCCAGCCCTCTTCTACTTTCTTTTTATTTTTTACTTACTCTTACACTTTCTATATACATTTTTTCCCCCCAGGATGTTATGGTCCATATTGAGGGAGATTGAGATAGTTATTCATGACTCTTCAACACCAAATTTTTCACAAAACAAACTTTTCACAAAAGCAGGTGACTTATAATAATCTATACTTTTATGGTTCTGTGAGACTACAGATGATATATAGGGTTGATCATATATGTATAATATGAGATATAGGGTTGATTGTATATAGTGTGATTTGAGACTACTTGCAAATTTTAAATGATTAAGTATTTTAGGATATTACTAATAAGTAAATCTTAAATTAAAAATAACGTTTATTATTAAAATAAAATTGTACGTACATTGTTATGATTATAAATTATGAATGCCGGTAATGTATTTAGTTATTTTTATTAATTTTAAACTTTGAAAAAGGGCAAAATGATTAAAATTCAATATCTTTAAAAAAGTTGAGTCTGAAGTTTATACAAAATTGCACTTATTTGTTGGTTACAGCTGTTTTGTTAATTGATTACTTTTGTTCCCTGTCGCATTTAATATCAAATATAAGATGTTTTAGAAAATTGTATTAAAATTTTATTATCACATTTAATAGTTTTGATGTTATTGGTTTTTATATGAAATAATTTGTACTTTTGAAATTTTTATAGTGGGCAGAAATGGATCCGGAAAAAGTAACTTTTTTTATGGTAGGTATTGTTTTTTTTGGATGCTGAATATGTTAAGGCTTAGATATCTTAAGGTAGTTTATTAAAATTGCTGGTTTTCTGAGATTATGCCAGTATTAAAAGAAATACTTTATACATGGTTGCAGTTTAGAAGTTTAGAGTATAAAGAACTGAGTTCTACTGTACCAAGTGAATAATTAGCTATGTGAGACTTAACAAAAATACCCCCTCAAATTTCTTTTCACCATAAAAATGGAGATATTTATCTTAGATGGGTTGTGAGGATCAAATGAGATAACATATATGAAAATACCTTTTGGACTTTAATACAGTGTATAAATGCACATATAGAATGTATCTAAATGCATAATGGTTGTTATTATTGTTTTGAAAAATAGTTCATCATTCTTCACCTTTATTTTCTAAACCAATAGTTTTTATAAAGGATGGAAGGATATAAAAACTTGAGACTCAAAGACAGTTTTCAGTTTGAAGGTAGTAAATGGAGCTTTGAAGGTAAAATGTTTTAAGTCATGCTTCCGTTAACAAATCCTTTGAGGAGGAAAAAAATACTAAAATGTTTTAACAGAATCAGACTATATAAGGAATGGGTTGGGAAAATTTTGTTCTTTAGTTGAAGAGTAACTCTGCACACAAATCCGAAGAGTACATTATCCTGTATAATTTATAATGGTTGTAATTTGGAGATGGTAAGAGAGTAGATTAGAGTGGAAATGTATATTTCAGAATCCCATTGAGATGAAGGCAGTTTGAATCCACCTCTCAACCCAGGTGATTGAGAGAGAGCCAATCTCCATTCCAAGCACACACATTAATGCATGAGTGCTCCCTCAATCCCCTACTCTTATAATACTCTCATAGAATGTCACTGATCTCTTTTGTGGACCAGATCAGGATAGCTGAGTAAAGTAGAGTTGTCCAGGCTTTTACTCACGTGTGAAAGGTAGGAATGGCTCCTTCTGACATAAGGAAAGGGTAGTACAAGCAGTGCAGTAAAAGTTGGGAATCTGAAACATTTCCCTGTATTTCCTTAATTTTGAGAAAGATGTTGCACTGTCACATTGCATCTACTATGATGTCAGTAGGCAGTAGGATTTTTTCAACCTGGTTGTAGTCTTATGGGACCACTATTATGTATGTGATTTGTTCTTGTACAGTGCATGACTGTATAACGTTAGTCTAACCCATCAAGCATATACTTTGATCAAGAAGTAGACCTTAGTTCTGCTTGACTATTTTCTTATACTTTAGTGTTTTCTCTTATTTTCTTACCTTACATATTTCAGTGAAAACTTCTTAATATTTTTGTCATATCATTTTCTTTTTTAAAAAAAATGTTTTTCTAGTTGTTGATAGACCTTTATTTTATTTATTTATATATGGTGCTGAGAATTGAACCCTATGCCTCACACATGCTAGGCAAGTGCTCTACCGCTGAGCTACAGTCCCAGTCCTGTCATATCATTTTCTGCCTAATATCTAAGCAAACTTTCTGCAATCATTTTGTCTATATAAAGCAGGTATTTTATTTTATATGCAGTATTCATTACCTGACATAGTATCCTATTAAGGAAGGTATGAGAAGTTATGAATAAGTCATGAATCCTCTTTTATACTGTACTAGTACTTGTGTTTTTGTATTTCCAGCAATTCAATTTGTTCTTAGTGATGAATTTAGTCATCTTCGTCCAGAACAGCGGTTGGCTTTGTTGCATGTGAGTAAGACTACTTTAAGACATTGTTGATACTATGTATTTTTAAAAATATGTTATCGATCCTGGTTAAGAAAATTATTTGTTCAAGTTTCAGAAACTTTGTGAACATGACATAGTCTCTCAAGTATGCTATTCTGTGAAATTTAGTCTACTGTATCAATGCCAAATAAAGACCTAATTTTTATACAACAGTTAAAATAAAATTGTAGAATTTGCCTATAGACAGATTTGTCTTCCACATAAATTTCTGTAAGGATATGATTTGGTAAAATTCTGGAGGCAAGTTAGGACATTTATAATGCA